TCAGGCATGGCTTCGAGAAGGCCGTACGCAAAGAGCAAGGGGCACTGGACGCCGATGTAGAACAACAGACCGTGAAGATCGCCGCCTAAGATTAGTGGCCTTAAGGGACCGTTTCTCCACTACCAGGTCCATTGCAAATGAATGGTTTGCAGAACACGGAAGACCTATTGGCATGCGAAGTGTTTACCGACGAATGAGAAGTTTTGGCTTGTTTTCATACCGGCCACACTGGGTTCTCCCTTTAACTCGAGAAGACCGACGTAATCGCCTTGAGTGGTGCAGACAACGGTCACTCTGGGATCAGGGATGGAACAGTATTGTCTTTAGTGATGAGTCTCGATTTTGTTTAGGCATGCACGATGGTCGTGCCAGGGTTAGAAGGCGACGTGGTGAAAGGAGGAATCCACAGTTTTTTGTTGAAAGACATGTTCATCACACTGTTGGAGTTATGGTTTGGGGTGCTATAGCTTATGGTTCCAGGTCACCTTTAATCTTCATCAGAGGTAACATGAACGCGCAGCGTTATATCCACGAAGTTCTAGAACCCCATCTTTTACCCTATCTTGACACTCTGGCAGATCCAACTTTCCAACAAGATAATGCCCGACCACATGTTGCAAGAGTCACAATAGACTTCTTTCAACATAATGATGTCACATTGGTACCATGGCCACCAAGATCTCCCGACTTATCCCCAATTGAGCACGTGTGGGATATGATGGGTAGGAGATTGCTCAATTTGCAACGTCCTCCTCAGACTCTAGAAGCACTTCGAGAGGAGTTGGTGGTTGCCTGGAATGAGATACCACAGGAGGACATTGACCACCTGATCAGAAGCATGCCTAGGCGCGTTGGAGAATGCGTAGCACATCAGGGTGCATCCACACATTATTAAAGGTCAAATGGCTTTAAAGCAGTGCAATCATTTTGAAATTTTTATGATTTACTTATTATGCTTCATTAAGTACTTATACAAAATTTTATTAAAATAAAACCATTTAAACTGGGTGTTCGGATTTATATGTCACTTAGTATATGTTAAGAAGTACAACGCACACCTACAAGAATATCGCATACAGACATTCAAGACACACGTCTCTCGAACTCCAAATAATGAACAAAGTAAACACAGTAAGCTCAGTGAATATAGTATAATGTATTTTATTCACACCGAGATGAATCCATCACAGTTTTCAAGCGCGCGTGAAACCGCCACAAAATGGGAGATTGTTATTACAATCAAGATACTATACTCGACTGCGCTGCACACCATCTGGTTACGAACTCTTATTTTATAGTACTCCATTTCCTGTGTAAGTACAACGATACCGTCTCTATGCCATGCCATTAATGATAAAGGCTAAAGTCGCTGCGTTTAAAATGCAATTAAAATCATTTTATAGCGTTGAACTATAAAAGGATCCCATTAGTAAACGCTGCAACACGCCTGGAGGTTCTTTTCTCCTTGTAAACTATATGTATTATCGTGGAGTGTTTATGGTTAAGTCCCACACTATGACCGTTATTTTACCTTCAAGCGATTAATAATTTTGTGAAGGGTTGGAAATTAGCTCCTGTGCTTGTTACATAAAAATACTAATCTAATAGGTTTTTTTTGACAGATGTAAGCATTTATAGGCACTGTTAGGCATATTATTGCCCTGTCGGCCTTTCCTACCAGAAGTGTGAGATTCTCCAGAAATATTACATATTTACTAAAACTCCTTAGTCATTCGCTACATATCTCACCACAGTAAGAGGTATTTAGTTATCTGACTCCCAGCTTCGTACATATGCATACATACCTACGTACATAGGTACATATATTTACAACTCAGCTAGTAGAGACCTGCTGTTAGTTCCTTGGTCTATTTTTATCATCTTTTACCTTATTCGGCAGTCAACCTCTCGTCAAGCATCAATTCCAGACATCTCCGGCAGTCAGCCTATCTACCGTATTCAAGTACATGTTCAGGAGTATCCTCTTTTTCGTTGCAATTAATGCATTTCGCGGACTCTCTTTTTCCTGCCCTCTTCAAGTAGCTGCTAAAAGAACCATGTCCGCACCGTTCCCATGTCAATCTAACTCTTAATATCTGAGATCACCTTCCTAGTCCATGCACCATGCGACTTTCTTTCATCGCATTCAGCTGTGGCGCACTTTTTATTGAGCTAGCATCTCTCCCCAGTCAGCAAATCAATTCGCAGGATCCCAGCCACCACCGTTGATTCCGTTCTTCAGAGCATCATTGCATGCATTTCTGTTGCCTGAGGGCCTTGTTACCGATAGGGGATCTGTAGAACAAAATTGAGATTGTCACCCCCGCCAAAATCCTACGCTTCTCACTACCGGGCCGACATCAGATGGCATTTGCTGTACCACATTATGTAAGGACTTCATTTACTTTGTCGGTGGTGCGATATATTCAATCATCTCCAGACATTTGTCGAGACTCACACCCAGATACTGAATTGCATTTTGGAATCGAATCTCGGCATTTTCTTCCATCCATATGGTAATGATATCAGTGATTTAAAAGCATGACGTAATCACGACATTCGAATAACGACGAGGTTATGGGCATAGTAAGGCGATATCGCTTGCACACCCTGGTAATGTTGCTCTTAACAGTGCCTTGTTCCCGAAGTCATGATGACGTCACACTTTTCACGGTATCTGGTAACAATCATGATTCGTGATTCAGAAATATCATTTCCTAAATCACAATTCGTGAAATATCTATCGCCACTAAAGTATTTTTCACGAGTATCCATTACAGTAGAATAATAGCTGATTATCTAGTAGTAGTTCAAAATTCCCCATATCGACAAGTGACACATAATTCTAATGGATCCGTCAACGTCAGGTGGACAGAGCCGTATTGTGTTGTGGTTTCATGAATGATGCGGATTCATTTTGTAGCTGCTAACAGCTGTTTTAGTTAGAAAAGTTCCTTCGCATATAAAAACAACGCAACCAAAATTGAACTCCTAATGTCTATCACTACATTCCAAGTCTGGTAGGAATAAAATAGGATAAACGGTTTTTGACTTAGTTAATCATCTCTACGTATAGAACTTGAAACACCATATCGATGATTCCCTGAATTATGACTGAAAATTACTCAAGTAATTTTAAGTTAGAATTCGGGGAAATTAAAGTTAAGGGTACAATTGTTTCAGTGTTCGTGAATACTGGCGTGGGCCAACTGTTGAGAACACTGCAAATATTCGAATCAAACGAAAACGTCGCGTGAAAGCTGCTACCGCTTTTAGGAGTTGTAATTTTTGGATTTTTACAAAGAGAGTGAGATTATTAAACAATATCAGCCTTAATTTTTCAAATATCAAAAAATTTCAGATTGCCAAATGAATGCAATTTGGTGTAACGTGCAAGATCATTTTTTCTACATGAGTGGTGTTTTCAACAAGCTCTATTCATTGTTAATTTTTATGAGAGGTTCTGTATATACTTAATGTACTATAATAATTTTCTAATCGGCATTTTTCTATATGTATTTCGTATATTTTTTTCTCAAAATTCCCAGTAACGAAAACTATCTAGTTATATGATTATTGCCAACATTACAGACTAAATACAAAGACGTCATATGCTGATCAGCTGTTCACTTCCGTCAAAACGTAACGGATACTCGTGAAATTGTAGCCCACACCTCATAAGCCCCACCTAAGGAGGAATGGCACAACATTACCGAAACTGCTACCGCTAGCACGGGTTGTGGGTTGCAGATTCGATGGATAGCATAAGGGTATGCTTTTAGCGTCAGGAAGCTTCAATAGATATTAGTTTACCTACCTGTGGGCAAAGCGACATGTTTGTAGCTTAAAAAGTAGAGTCAATGGGTACTTTCAAAATGCCAAAACGTTACCTGTGACGCGCGATGATAGTGAACTGTTCACAACTAGTAGTAATTCAGTACACCGAAAATTATTCTATTCCTGAACCCACCGGCGCTCCCACGGGAGGGGGGTAAAGGGGGTAATTAACCCCCCTCCCCCAGACGACTCGAGCAGTCTTTGAAAAAGCAACACTGCTAACCCGCTCAGTGCGCATGCGACTACTCTCCTACCAACAGGAACGGTGTGCGCTTCTTCCTGTTGGAACAGGTATAGTCTAGTCTTTTATGGTCTAGTCTAGTATATAAATTCTGTAGCAGTCCGGAGTCCGCAATAAAATTTGGCTGAGAAGTGAACAAGCGGATTTTTGTTGATATGGTTGGTATTAACGCTATTTTCTATGTTCTATTCATTTTTTATTTTCCACGCCTAAGCCAGAAAATAAATTTTTGTTCGTTTTTAATTTTTATACTATAAAGTAATCGTATCTAAAAAAATGGATATTTACTATAATTTCAATTACGAAGTGTTTGGTCCATACTTCAGCTATCATTACCATCTATGTCTACTTTGTCTCGGAAGTCCCTATATACAAGCACTTCAGTGCATTTCGTTCATTCGAGATGGCAAATTATATATTTTGTTTTTGAAAATTACGTGAAATTAAGAAATCTTGTTTTCCAAACAGAAAAGGTTCTTTGTTATGACATACGTGAATGCATGGTAACCAATAATGCCGTTTATTTGACAATATTTGTGTAACTTTTAGTGCTGGTTGACGGCTGCTGTTGTCAGGATGAGTAAAAAGAAACAGAATACCATCGATTGGTTCCTTTCTAAACAAAACAAACTGTCTGATCCACCGGCACAAGAATTACCGGAAAAACCTGATGATAATCCTACAGTTCAACCTGAGCCTTCCACTTCAAAATTTCTTGATGTTGCATCGTATGCTGAACCAAGTGCTGAACAATCGGATGCGAAACCTAAGGCGCAATCCACACAGAACGGGCGCGTGGTGGTGGCATAGGTCTGGCGTGGCAGGGGCATGTGTCATCACATGTTCGTTTATGCAGCAATACAGTCAGAAGTGATGTGGCGCCGGCGAAATAATTCGCGCCACCGCCGTGCCACTTCGACACCACGAGTGGCCTACATTAGTGGCAAATGCCATACACCTGACAGCTACTTTTGTTGATTTTTGGTGTTTGCTAATCAAAATGCGGGACGATTTTCAATTTAATATTGAGTTCTGTGAACTAGTGGAACAGTATGCAGTTCTATATGATTACAGACGATCGGATTACTGCAACAGAAGTGCACAAGACCAGGCGTGGGAACAAATATCAAAAAAAAAACAGTGCAAATGGTAAGTAGGTACATTGATTTTTTTATATTACAGAGTATCTGATTCCATTCATACGCGGTATCTATCCTGATGAGGAATTGGTGCGCGGTCTTTAAAATAGTTGCTGAGGTAAATTCTCATATCTCTAGCGTTTTGTATTAATTGTACTGGAGTGGAATCGCCAACAATAACGTTTTCATATTGGAGAATTGAGAATGTGCCATCGCGCTCCTTAATCGCGTTGTGCAACACAAACATTGCTTGAATTAGATCATTAACTTTAGTAGAATCACATCGAATAAGTGTTTGTAGAAGCCCGAACTTTGTTGTAAGCATACCAAAAGCGCATTCCACTGATTTCCGTGCTCTGGAACATCTGACATTAAAAATCTTTCGTTCGAGACTTATCAACTCTCTTCGAGAGAAGGGTCTCATTGAATTTGAGGATAGGGGAAAAGCCTCATCGCCTACAAAAAAGTAGGGAATTGATGGATGCATTTCTCCAAGTAATGCAGCTGGTTCAGGTATATTCAGACGTCGTCGTTCCTTCAACGCTATTGCGTCCGAATTCACCTACATCAATTGTTAGAAATAGGCCATCTGCATCTGCCACAGCAAGTAAGACAATAGAAAAAACCCTTTATAGTTGATGAAAGCAGATCCTGACCGCGGTGGTGCTTTTATTCGAATATGTTTGCCATCTACGCTACCAATACAGTTGGGAAGATTCCACAATTCATGAAAACGTTTCGCTGTTTCTTCCCACTTAGTTTCTGTAGGTTTTGGCATATAGACAGGTTGTAATTTCTTCCATATGACTTGGGCGGTGTGATGCACAATCTCTTGTATAGTAGAATGACCTTTCAGGAAGTAGAAGGAAAGGGCTTTGAATGAACATCCAGTCGTGAAGTACCTGAAAATAGGCAATCGATGTTCTCTTAATACAGACCGGTATTTTGTTTTAACGTATATTTAAATGTATAATGTTTGTTTTTGTTTCAGTAACTCGGACCACTGGAAGAATATATGAGGAAGCTATTCAAAATATAGGGCAAAACTACAAACCAAATCAGGACAAAAAGCTAAACGAGTCAAAGAATATTATCTGGCCCCACATCTTCTCTTCTTGGATCCTTTCTTGAAGTCTCGCAAAAGCAAAGGCAACATAGCTGAAGAGTCTGCATTATCAGCTGATGAGGAAACAGATGCTAATGAATATGAAGAAAACGTCAACATTGAGGTTCAATCACCCGATTACATTCTATCCACTCATTCACCTATACCAGCTCAAAGTACTTCTGTCGATGATCACCTGTTAGCAATGACCATCACGGAAAGGAGATGATTTAAGAAAAAAAAAAGAAGTTAGCAACCTCTATCAATGATGTCAACCAGCAAGCTTATCAGTATTTTGAGAAAAATCAGAAAGTACTGGAGATCCAGAACGTCACGGAAACAAATACCACAGTTGATCCTCCTGATCCTAACCTGGCATTTTTACACAGTGTTCTGCCTGACATGAAGTCTATGAAATCTAACCAGAAACGGCATTTCAAAATGAGCATTTTAAATTTGACAGAGCAAATACTATCCTCAACCAATCTGGAAGCTACTACTCCACCAATGGATGGTTCTCAATCTTGGGTTGAAGATTCGGTGAATAGAAATCCAGGTTCAACCGCAAACCAACACGGACCCTTTCAATATGATTGAGTTTATACGATACAATAATTAGTACCTGATATTACTGATTTAATGTTTTCTTTTATTTGAGTTAATTCAATTTACTTTAATATATTTTTTCAACTTACCTCAGCGTTATTAACAGCCTCTCCTCTGGACTAACCGGTTCTCTCCAATTTGTTAATTTCTTTTCAAGATCTACCCTTACTAATGCTAGTATTTTATAAAAACATTGACGGGACATTCGATAGAAACTTTGAAAACGTTCAGGGTACATATTGAGCTCCCGCATAACGTTGAACGAACCACTAGTTTTCCCTTTATATAGCCACAAAGGATGTATCCAGTATCTCCTTTGCCTTTGTATGTTAGCTAAATTTACAAGATCTAACATATCTTGATCATTTTCGTCATCCGAAAGCATCGTCAGTCGTCACTCCGTGATCCACGCCTTGAGGGAAACTGAGTTCTGACATTTCAGTGTGAATTGAACGCGCCTCTACCGCACCACGCCAGTCCCACGCCACCACCACACGCTTGTTCTGTGTGGATTGCGCCTAAGGATCCAATTTTGTTGATGTTGCGCCATATATAAATTTCAGCGGCAACTTATCTTCTCATGAAAAATATACTTTATTGAGGTGTGCAATGATCTCTAATGACTCTTTCAAATATCCCTATTCCATATACTTGAAAAATAATAAAGAAGTGAAATGTTACTTATCAAAAAAACACTAACAGAAACAACAGAAGTAGTTTCAGATGCTACAAACTTTTTAAAGATTTACGAAAATCCAGAGAATGATATAACAAATATGATTTCAGAGCGAATTAAGCAAGTATCAGAAAATCGGCAAAGATTGACTCCTATAATACAATCTATAATTTTTTTAGGACGCCAAAATATACCACTTAGAGGGCATGAAGATAGGCAACGACCTTTTTGCTAATGACAGAAATTATAGAATCTTGTGGCGAAGAAATCTTGGATATAGCTTCAAGTCGCGTCAGGCAAAGTCCGTATCACAGTATTATATTTGACGAAACTACAGACATTAGCCATAAATCACAAATGTCAATCGTATTGCGGTATTGTTATCAAAAACATATTTATGAGGACTTCATGAGATTTGTGGATTGCTACTCAAATTTTGATGAAGATGCAATGGATCCCAAACTCACAGGTCAAATTCTTGCTCAAACAGTCAAACATTTCATTAAAGCCAATAACTTAGACTCAAAACTATGTGTGGGCATTGGTACTGATACGTGTAACCTAATGTTAGGTGAACAAAAGGGCACTGTAATGGAATTACAAAAATGCTCTAAAAAGCCCATGCGCAAATCATACGTTGAATCTTTCGACTTCAAAAAGCAGCAGTGTCCATGCAGTAAGAAATACTGTAGGTATAATGTAGGAATTAATTGCGTTCTTCAAAGCATCCGCTAAAAGAAATACAGTATTAAAAAGAAAACTAGACGGATATCAAATTCATAGTATGTACGAAACACGATGGACTGAGAGACATGATTCTGTGCTCCAATTTGAAAGCAAATTCGAGAAAATTGTAGAAGTACTAAATATTATATCAAATTGGAAAGATCGCGAAGCTTCTTCAAAAGCTGAGTCTTTGAATACTGCCATTACTTCCACCCAATTTATCGTATCACTAAAGTGTTTGTGTGGCATAACAGTCAACCTGAGTAAGATTTTACAATCAAAAATAATTGCCAAACAATACGCTGTCAAACCCATAGGAAATATTATTTCAGTTGTACAAGAAAGAGGCGCAAATTCCGAAAAACACTTTAGAATACTATTCGCATCTATAATGAAATCACATGCAACCCTAGGTGTTGAACTGTCTGTGCCAAGAATAACAAGCAGGCAAATAAACAGACCGAACATAGTTACGTCTGACAAGGAAAATCATTACAGACTGAACCTATATGTCCCTTTGCTAGACAATATATTACAGGATTTGGTATACCGGCTCAATGAAGAATCTTTGAATACGTATATATACAACTTTAATATTTTCTTTGCGTCAGTATTTAATTCAAAAGCTGAAGCTGAAGTAATGGACATATTAGAAACAATTTCTAAATATTTGCATGGACTACATAGTAACGAAAACAAAAATTTAATAAGTACTAGATTAAAAACAGAATTTGACCTTTGGAAGTCACGTACACAAGATATTATAGGCAGTGGAATGTCACTGTATTTATCATGTGATGAAAACATTTTCCTTCAATTAATAGATGAACAACAATTATTGATTTCATTGCCGGTAAGTGTTGCGACATCTGAAAGAAGTTTCTCCCATCTAAAGACTATAAAAACTTGGCTGCGCTCCACTATGTTACAAGAGGGGTTAGTGGGTTAGCTCTTTTGTATATGCATAGGGATATTAAAAGAGACGTGAATACAGTCATAGATCGGTTCGCCAGCAAAAAGAATAGGCGCCTTGATTTTGTAATATGATAACACCTGAACTTTGCCTCTGTTGGAAAATAAATAAAGAAGCAGGTGTAGTTAAGGGTTTACTTACGTTTAAACCACGACGGTGACCTTTTCCAAAGTATCCAATCAAGATATGTGGTTTTATTTATTGGCCAGCAGATTGATATAAAAGCCTGTTCAAATTCTGTTCAAATCACTTTCTAAGCTAATGTAATGATTGTTTTATTTTGAGACTGTTAACTGATGTAGTTTCATAGTTTATATGTTTTTGTTTTTTTGAGACTGGCTAAGAGAATGTAGTTATGTAATGAATATTTTTTGTGTTTTTCTCATGATTAAGAATTTTATTTTGGTTTACATTCAGTTTTATACTTTGTAGAAGTCGTAACATATTTGTTATTGTTATTTTTTTCCTGAAGATGTATTTCTTGTTGTTTTGTCTGACATTGTTATGTAGAAAAGTCTGTGATAGATTATATTATTTTGCATTTTTGTTTTAATATATGAAGATTGCTCGATCTTGGTTTGCTTTATTTACACTTTGATTTCGTATGATTCAAAATTGTAAGTATTTTCTACAGAAATTACTGTAACAAATTCATATGTCTGCATATGTCCATGCTTTTAATGTTAAATCATTATAACACTTCAGTACGTTACACTGAGAATTTACTTTCCATTTTACCCCTCTCTGACTGAAATCCTGGAAGCGCCACTGCCTGAACCTGCACTTCTACTCGTAGTACCAAACATGTACACACTGTCCTCCCTAATTAACTGAAGCCAATCAAATCTTATAAAAAAACCGGCGGGTACGTCCTACCAAGGCTAATTTCATTAACTACGCTCTGTACTGAAAAATACCGGTTTCCTGATGCATGTAGCATTTACGAGTATAACGCGGAGGCAGAAAAGGTTTGAGGTGGTGTCTAAGCAATAATTTAAAAAATGTTGCAGTCGTTATGGATTCAAATACCTTTTTAGAAACTATAATAGGTTCTGACAAAACTTGCTACAAAGAGCAAGTCGATTGCAAAATTCTCATTCGTGATCCATTTTTTAGTAGGTACTCAAGTTATCATTATTTAGGTAAAAGGACATATTGGCATACAAGGCCTTGAAAAGGCGACGTGGCTGACCACCCATTATTTCAGGAGCTAGAGAACTATTTGAATGGAAATAAACTACTACTTGCCTCATTCTTTCCTCATGCATGACGCACATTTTCAATTTTAACATCAATAGAAAGTATTCTACTACGGCACGGGTATTTTTAAAAAACATATAAAACGTCAAAACAACCTTTAAAATGACATCTTGCAGACTAGATAGTTTTTTGGGTGCAAACAGTCATGCCACGTTTGCTCACTAGGATCGTTGTGAGCGTTCATCTATGGAGAAATTACGCATTGTTGGTCACATATGTTTTGTGAAGCCGAGAAGTCTATATCTGTAGTTTTCATCTCTGAAAAGAAAGTTGGTTGAATAGCAAGAACCATCTGGATGTGTATTGGTCTGCATGTATATAAAATCAGTGTTATTTGCTGTGTGAGAAAATCATTACTGAGTATGCTGCCAATGAAGTGTATATCTATTAGCTGTGACCGACGGGTTATTTATGTTGTTCTTTCAGAAGACAGGTTATGTTCAAAGTTATCAGTTACGATTTTTTACGTTTTTTTTTGTCTTCAAAAACCTTGAGGATAATTACGCGTTGTGCCTAATTACTGTTAGCATGTATATGACTTGTAACTCGACAGTGTACAGTGAATATAATTATTTCCTATCTCTCTCATTTTTGAAATTCAGCAAATTTGCACAATTATCTAATTTCCGGAATGGATAAGAAAAAGTGGATACGCAACTAATTTCTAACTTTGAATCTCAAGTAAGTGTATTTAAGGCCCGTATCGTCAGTCGTCCCGACAATTGTAGGGCTCGTTTATGGCCTTCTTGATTTCGATAATATTACGTATTCTTCGTTAACGTACATGTATGGCCTCCTTTTGATTTTGACAGTTCTGGCTTGAGGTTGTTTTGACGTTCAAGACACATGACAGCAGAACCATAATTAATTTATAATTTTCTTGCAAATAATATCGGTCACTCAAAAATACCTCGCTACATTGAACAAATTCCACAACCTATGGTATCTTCAAGAAATTGAGTTAGGAAAATTAATGCACATGGATATATTATATTATAATATTATATTTGTTTGTATGAAAGTCCAGAAGCTTACAACCAAGCTATTCTCTTGATTGAGGTTTGTAAGTTACAAAACAAATCATTGCATATCCATATTATATACTTATCGCATTATATTCAGGTGTGATTTATTATCACAGCCTTTATGAGAAGTTGGTTCCTCAGTAAAATGCTATGTTTACTTTGGAAGGATCAGGAGGTGAATGATCTTTCTAAGAAGGAATTTATGCATCCAGGCATAACTGAAGGAATCTTACAGAAACAAAACGTAAATTTGATTTATGTGATTTTGCTGACCAGCCTCAGGGCAAAAACAAAGTCTACAATCGATTCAAACACAGAACAGTTAAATATTTAGAATTGACAGCTTAACCAAGGCCAACATATATTGTGATCAAGGTGTAACATTGGTAAAAATAATGTGAGCGATTGATATATTGCAAAAAAGTTAATCCTGATATTGCCAACAGACGTAAACTAAGAACGATAGAGAGCTGAATGATCTTCATAAGAAGGAATTTACACATTCAGGCACATGGAAGCATCCTAGCACCGCTGAAAAAGCCAATCCTGTAGTAACTACACCATTTTGAAACACATGAGTTTGCCTTTGTGTTCGATATTTTTTTTTTTTTTTTTTTTTTTTTTATTACTGGCCTTAGGAGTTCTAGCCTATTCGGCCACGAGAGTGATATAAACATGCTCAAATTTATAATAAAACATATAGATCCGCTGCTAGCAATATTGTATAGATCCACATACATACAGGTAACAGGGCCCTACTCAAAACCAGGAAATTATAATAGAAGAACCAAGATTAGGGAGGAACGGGGATACACGTTTCACGTCAAGGTGCCGGTCATGACGACTTTAAAGACAGACAACACAGGCAACGGTTGGTAGGTTTAATAACAGATAGGCAAAAACACAGGTAAAAATAACTCAAGTCACACGACAATCTCACTGAATTCTAAATTCGTGTAACTCGTTAATTATATTTTCCGTCTGGCTCTCTTGAAGAAGTCCCATAGAGTTTTTCGAATTGATGAATTGTGAGTGCTTGAATACAGAAGGGAGGTTTGACTTTGAGGAAATGGAACACCAAGTGTAGCCAGCTCACTCATCATATAAACTGAAGCGGTTGAGTTGAATTTGCATTGGAACAACCAATGATTGATATCATCCCTATTCCCATCACAGCTACATGTATCCGATTCTTCGAGACCAAAGCGGTGCAGGTAAGCTTTTACTGTAGCATGTCCGACCAAACATCTGAAGTACATTGAGTGTACTCTCCTATTGACGTGGCTTCTGAGCTCTATTGGGGAGTCAGGGAGGTTTGGATAAATTTTGCAGTATTGGTTATTATTGTTGGTACAGAAATTAGTCCATTCCATTTGCCAGCTCTTTTTCATATTAAGCTTCCTCGACGAGGCTATGTCAGTTTTAGTTACGTATTGTTTTTCTTCTCCGGACGAGGCGGCTACCTTAGCCAGTCGATCTGCCATTTCATTCCCCTCAATTCTTGCATGACCTTTTATCCATATAAATGCCACCGATTTCCTTAGTTGTCTTAATTGAGATTCCTTCTCCAGTATTGAGACGATGGTTTTGTTGTGGTATATGTGAAAAGGCGCATTTTGTAATGCGCGTATAGCTGATTGTGAGTCTGACATAATAATGAATTTTTGGTATGACGGACGATTGCAGACTACCCACTCAAGAGCCAGATCTATGGCTGCTAGCTCAGCGGTGAATATAGAGCAGATGGGATCCAGTTTATACTTTAGAGACACTTTCTCGTCTTCTATAAATACAGCACACCCTACGCCTTGCTCAGATTTGGATCCGTCTGTGTAGGTTCTACAAGGAGTCACAAATTTTTGTAGTAGATCGTGGAGTAATTGCTTCATGATGGGAGGATTTTCAGCAACGGTGATGTATGTCTCTAAATTTGAGAATGAAATATTGTATTGAGACTTGAAAAATGGTATATTATCTCCTTCTATGTTGTACAGAGAGATGTTGGGGTATGCTTCAGCAAGTGTAGGAGAGTTTTTATTTTGCCACCATGGAAGTGTCAAGTTGAGGGTGGTTAGTTGAGCTACTTTTCTTGTGAGTGCAGTTTGGTCATTGAAGCTGCATTTTATAATGAACTTTTCTGCTAAGAATAACCTTCTCAAGTGTAATGGAGGTTCCTGACACTCTGCTAACAGAGTAGCTGTTGGAGTAGATTTCAGAGCCCCCAAGGCTAACCTTAGACCTTTATACTGTAGCCTATCGAGCTTGGCAAGGCGAGTCTTCGTAGCTGAACCATATAAGAAACATCCATAGTCTAATATCGATCTTGTATAGCATCTATAGAATAAGATATTTATTTTGGGATCAGCTCCCCATTTGTACCTGTTAACCGCTTTGAGGATGTTCAGGCTTTTTTCGCATTTGACAAGACAATTGTTTATTTGGTAATCCCAAGTCAGTTTGGTGTCCAGCGTGATACCCAAATAGGTGTAACTACTGTGAACCGGGATCGCAACGTTGGCCAATGGCAAGATGGTACATACAGGTAAACGGTGACGGGAAAAAAATACGACGGCAGATTTTGAGGGGGATATGTCAAGACCCTGGTTGAAGAAATAATCGTTGCAACGATGCATTATAACGTTGAGCATATCAATGCATTGTTGATACACTTTATTCTTAACATAGAAGCAGAAGTCATCGGCGTATTGCAAGACACTGCATTCCAACCCCGCAGTATGTAGGTCCTGAGTATATATGTTGAAGAGAAGCGGGCTTATAACGGAACCTTGTGGGAGGCCCTTATGTACTGTTCTCGGGCCAACGACTTGATTGTTACATCGGATATAGACCTTCCTGTTAATGAATAGATTGATTAGGACACATGCGTAGCTCTGAGGTAAGTTCAGTCTAAGCAATTTATCAAAAAGTATCTCGGGTATGACATTGTCATAGGCACTGGAGATATCTACAAAGAGAGATGCTAGGTAGTTATTTTCAGAAAAGGTTATCTGTATATCGCTCACTAGATGCGCTACGCAATCGACAGCCCCTTGTCCTCTACGGAAGCCAAACTGTGATGTTGGGGGAGTGTTGTTGCTTTCCAACCACCATTCAAGCCTTGCCTTCAAGATCCTTTCAAACGTTTTCAAAAGGCAAGACATTAGAGAGATTAGTCTACAGGAATTGGGGTCGCTTGCTTTGGGAATCGGAACGATGAAAGCGGCTTTTAGGGCATCGCAGTTTTCTCCTAGGATAAGAATACGGTTATAGATATTGCATAGAAAGTCTACAGCGACCTGCGGTAAATTTCCTATCATAAGGTAGTTGATACCATCAATTCCTGGAGATGTCAGCTTGGAGACCTTAATGTTTGCTTTCAGCTCTTCTGACGTGATTTGTGACAAAAGGAAGTGCTGTTCACTATTACTCTGCGGAGAGAAAAAAGGACAGGAGGCATACGGTGGAGCTATCTTGTTTAGAAGTGCTTCTACACTAGATGCATCCTGTCTATGAAACTGTTTAGAGTTTTGAATTTTGTTGACCCGTTTCCAGATACTTGACGGGGAGGACTGTCTATTTAGGTTGCTGCAGAATTCAGCCCAACTAGATTTTACTTTTGTTCGGAATGACCGCTTACAGACGGCATCAGTTCTTTTATATTCCAAGTAGTTGGCAAAAGTGAGGTTCGACTTGTAGGTTTTAAAAGCGTTTTTCCTAACATTAACTAATGAAGAGCACTCGTCATCCCACCAGGGAGGAGATCTAGATTTGTTAGAGAAAGGTTTCAGAATTGTGCATGCTTGGTTGGCTGCGTTTGTGATTGAGCTTTGTAAAAAGACGATCATGTCATTAGTGTCCACAAATGTGGGCAAACCAGAAAAATACTTTATAATTTCTGTACGGTATAAGACCCAGTCAACATTTTTCATGGACCATTTGGAGGTCGGAGTTATGGGAGTGTTTTCTATACGTATATCATTGAAAGTAATCTTGATAGGAAAGTGATCGGAGCCGTACGTATCAGGAAGGGTAGACCAGGCGAAAGAAGAACATAGACCTGAAGATAGGATAGTTATGTCCACGACAGATTTAATTTGCCCTGGTGGGGTAATTCTTGTAGCTGAACCATCGTTGACCACTACAAAGTTTTGGAACGAGTCTAGTGCTTCTAGCACAGTATTACCTTCAGTAGAGCTTACTGGAGAACCCCACATACCATGATGGGCATTGAGATCCCCTCCTATGATACATTCGTACTTTATTTGTTTAAAGATATTTATGTAATCTGAAGCTAAGGCCTTAACATTTGGTGGTCTGTACATACTAACAACGGACAACTTTCTACCGTCATTGAACACGTTTATACCACATATCTCAATTTTTGAGTTGAAATTATTCGTGAAATTTATTGGTTCAAATTGAATAGATGTCGAGACAAAAATTGCAACCCCCCCGTAACCATCATCTCTATCTTTTCTAATAATATGAAATTTTTTAAAATTCGTATTAAACGACTTTTTGTACCAAGTCTCCGATACCAGGGCGATATCGAAGTCTTCTTCCACCTGTAGTTGTTCGAGTGAGTTTTTATTAGCACGCAAAGATCTGGCATTCCACTGAATGACCTTCAACCTTCTGGGAGCCATGAGCTAAGCGAAAACTTTTGCTAGGATGTTTTTAATTTTAGTGTCCAGTTCACTTTCACAGTTTGCTTGTGCTGTGTCATTAAAGGGTGTTTTTTCACTGATGTAATCTTGTAAACATTGCTGCAAGAGTTTTTTTATTGCGGCGGTTAGCTGGTTAATCAGCTGGTCGGACTCAGTGCAGGATTCCTGTGCTTCAGATTGGAAAACAGGCCCAGCACAAAATGAAGAATTATATTCTCTACGGATGGGAGCGAAATTAGGAGAAGTATCCCTGGTTTTTCTTTTTTTGGGAGGATTCGCAAAAGGGGATGGTTGAGGGCTTGAAGCTGCTTTGTGACTTGGTTGTTGAGTGGGAGAAGAAGTGGATTGAGATGAAGAGGTTAGAGGGGGAAATTCTATATCTGAATTTATTAGAGGAGCAAATCTATTTTTTTGAATAATACTAGTATAGCACGGATTATCAATGACTTTCTCAGCCTCTTTAAATGAAATATTCAGATTTGCCATAGCCTCCTTAGTTCTTAGCTGTTTTTTGTACTCAGGACAGTCACGAAATGTTGAATCATGACTGTTGTTTTTGCAGTAAACACAGTATACGTTGCAAGCGTGATTATTATCTGTATCTGCAGAACCGCACTTTCTACACCTTCTACTACTCTTACATTGAGATGCTGAATGCCCGTATCGCAAGCATTGGAAGCATTGCATAACTGGGCTAATATACGTTTCAACCGGGCATCTGACTTTGTTTATGAAAACAAATTGTGGCAGCAGCTTACCTGCAAATGTGACAACTACAGTTTGTGTAGGAACCCGGAGAGAAGATTCTCCATTATTAACGGTTCTAGTCATTCTGTACGCTTTTTTCACAAGGATGTTAGATTTTATGATATTAACTAGAGAATTTTCATTAATAGCCGTGTCAACACCTCGTATTAAACCACGCTTCTCTGTAAGGTGGTTGGGAATGTACGCTACAAGATTATTAGCTTCAAATAAGGAATCTTCTATGAGTTTATTGGCAGTATCACCCGAATCAAGTTCTATTTTTATGCGATTACGACCTACCGTGCTAATTTCTAAAATGTGTTTTTCATATTCAGCTAATGCTGCTAATTTTTCTCCCAGCTTCATTGGGTGAAGTCGACCCAAATTTAAGTCAAGGTGTTCTACAAATACAAAGTACGGGCCTGTGTCACTGTTTCTAAATCTGTTGTCCGTATTTTTTGGGCG